AATTTTTAATTTTTATATTAAAATAAGCCAAAGGTCTGAATTAGCCGTGACATTAAATATACAAAGGATTAGGTATGATATAAATTAGTTTATTTAGTAATTAATTATTAGATAATAATTTATTAAACTTTTAAATCTAATAATAATAATAAGAAAAATATTTAAATATTGATAAATATTACTAAATTGGCCATTCCAAGTCAACTTCTAAAACATCCAAAGCTAAAATGTCAGCATGACATCCAATCATATCTCCCAAATTTGGGGTAGTTCTTCCCAAATCTCCATGGATAAATTCTTTAATATATCTGGAAAAAAAAGATAGGTTAAGGAATGGGTGGAATACTGTATTATAATATTTCTTAAAGAAAGATGTCAATTAAATAGGATACGTCCCAGCTTCAGTTGTCATTTTTAACGTTAGAAAGTTATCTTCCATTTGTTCGGCAAAAATACAATGGATTTTTTTAGAGCGTACTGCTGATGAACGTCTAATAATAATGAAACATAGATGAAATATACCATGTATATAGGAAAAAAAATAACGTATATATAGTATATTATACCTTTGTAAAACACGAATTGGGGTCTGCTGTTCGATAGTGAACCCATCATGAAATTTGTTTATCTCGTCAATTATTTCAGGTGTAACTTTTTTGGAAATCCAAACAAGTGCACTTTTGTTTTTAATATTCATATTAGAGAATTGTTAGCTCGCCAATACTCGAATTAAATCTGAGACCAAAAAGTAATATGATCATAAAAAATAAAAAAGCTCGGTCCAACTTAAGAATTATATATTTGTAATGACGTAACTAGCGTACAGTTTGTCTAAATTTATATATGATTATGGTCTATAATAATACTAACCTATATGTTTTTGTCTTCGTTTCTTCGCCTTCTTTAATAATTGACAAATCTTGTTTGCTTTTTGGGGGGGGTTTTTTTTTTTTTTTTTAGAAAAAAAAAAAATTACCAGTTATAATAGACAAATTAGTAAATTTATTAATTAAAAATACATAGTTACATACTTGGTTATCATTGTTAACCTCTGGCATCGCACCGAATCCGTATATTCTTTATTTATTTCTTCTTGGACAGAATTTAGAGTTTCCTGAGAGGGAAATGGGTTCCGAGGATTGAAGATTTCCATGAAAAACGGTCTACCACTACCTAACATACGCACATTAGAATCCTCCCGACCCGCCGGTACAAAATTATAATCTTGAAGAAAAAATTAATAATGAGAACTAAATTGTATAATTTTAAGAAAAATAATGTAAACTTACCATCACACTTGAATAATTCGCGTATTCTCTCTCCAATACATTCAGAAACCGATGTTGGTGCCAATTTGACACCATTTATAATCCATGGAGTTTGACTCATCTCTCGAGACAATTTATTATATCTCCCTAAGTAATAAATGTATTATTTGAAATGTAACGATTCGTGAAAGATAAATCATAAACAATTATAAATGTGGTTCACAAACCTCCGACGTAAACGGCTGCATGCTCCAATGCTATTGATATAAGTTTCCATCGTTCTTTCACAACAAATGATGGACAACCATTACACATTCTAGAAATTTAAAATCAAGGTTTTCAAAAATAACAAATTCATAAATTCAACGTTCGCAACGTACTTTAAAAATTCGTCATCTGATACTTTTTGTAAAGCATTAATTATATTTGGGCGAGAATCCCCCGTCCGAACATGTTTTCCCTATAGGATTCAGAATAAACGATCTGAACGGACAAAACTATACTAATAATAATAATAATAATGAAATTATCTAGACTTTACTTTAACACGGGTCTTTTTAATTCCAAAATCAGCTGAGGGTATTTTAGTCAAAAACATGTGAATTCGTTTCGTTTCATCGTGACAATATTCTATAGATATGTTAAATTGACTTTGACACTCATATATCATTCCTGATTGTTTTTCAATACCCCAACCTAATAAAAGCTTAAAAATTTCTTTCAAGTCTATTAATTTTTTCAAAGGACATTGGACCTTTAAATCACTAATTTCACGTAAAAGACATAGTTAAAAAATCATCTCCATTAGTAATATATAGTAAAAATCCTTTTTTTTATACACTAACTTACTTGCATATTTTTCGAACCCAAACTATCATTGAATAATTATTTACTAATATACCAGTAGGCATAGAAACAGATAGATTAAAATCTTTCACATCGAAATTATGCGCAAGAATGCTTTGGTAAATTGGCCAAACGCACTCAATAGTATCTGCTTGATAAAGAAGATCGAAACATGTAACGCAAACAGGTTTATCATGGGGTCTACACGAAAGTATTTCAGTAAAAGAATGTTCAGTAGATGAAATTAATTTAGGATCTATCGATTTAAAAAAATCTTCATGAATGCGACAGAGAAGCTTGAGTAAAACCTAGAAATTTTTTAAGGAATTTTTTATATTAAATTATTAAATTTGAATTATAACTTTTTACTTAAGAAAACTATATATACTTCTTCAGATGCAGAATAAATGTTATAATCATGGACATTTAAAAATCTAAGAATACATCTGGCACAGCATTTTGAATTCAACATGGTCTCTATAATGATAGTTATTGCTTCTTTGTTATTATAACGTAAAATTTGCGTTCTGATATCTTCATAAAAATTCTCAATATCTACACCAATTTTATAATTTAGTATTATACTTAGAAATTGAAATAATTTTCTTGTAAAAAAATTAATTCACCTTCTGAAACTTCATCGCATCGAATTCTTTTCCACCTATCAGACTCGTCAGAAATTCTGGTAGGTAATGTTAATTCTATTATAATAAATATATCGATAATAGATAAATATTTTTTTTTCAGAAATTCAAACTATCAATTGTATCGATCGACATTATTAAAATACGTACCATGATCAGTTTCCCAAAGTCTTTTTCTTGACATGATTAATGAGCATAAATTTTAATTTTTTCGGATCCTAATTTTTTTTATGCATGTTTTTGTGGATCATACATATCATGTGAAATATTATTCTATATTTTTGCAATTTTTAATGCAGTGTAACAATACCCTACGGGCAAAATTAGGATTGTAATTTGGGCCGAGCAACATAAATTTGGCCAACCTGAATTGTCGGCAAGTTTCGGAAAAGTAGACAATCAAC